CAACTTCATGAAAGAACATACATTTAGTTGAGAAGCCTTCTCTTCAAGTACGTGCATTGCTTCCTCAGGTTGAGGCACTGTAAAAGCTGGAATCCGATTCTAAAACCAAATGAACAAGTAAAGAAAGGAATTTATCAGCAAGAAAGTGCACATTGCAAACAAGCACCAAAAATAATTTTTATTCTTGAAAAGAAGATAACATTTTATTCTAAAAATACCTTGAAGATACCAGCCTTCTCACCCGCAATTTCTCCCAGAGTATTCCCTAATAATAAAATCCAGAATGATTAACCTCAACTAACTGAACAAGGCAGTGGCATTGTTCAACCATATTCTGAAAGATTTGTACAATATATAAATTTCAAAACATATTTTCATACACAATAGCCATGCATTAAACTAGTAATTACCTAGAATTCAAAAATAGAAAACTAACCAAGAATCTCCATGTGGTCATACCCTAGAGAAGTTATTCCACACACAATAGGGGCTTGAACCTGAAATATCAACAAATCTGCCTGAGCTTGTTCCTAGATATTAACTTCATAGAATACACTAATACATATACAAGGTTTCAATGCTCATTACTTTTGAAGTCTTCTAATGTAAGAGAAATATATTTCCAATGAAATGTTAAACATACCACATTTGTTGCATCATATTTGCCACCTAAGCCAACCTCCATTATAGCAACATCTACCTACATAAAAATTCAGAAAGAAAGAAGCTCTTATTCATTCATGACAATATAACAAAAAATATAATATATACTGAACAATTTTTCATAGGCATTTAAAGCATGCGAAACAAACCTGCTCTGCTGCAAATATCTTGAAACCAAGTAAGGCAAGGAAACGGAAATAAGTAGGCATTGGAATATTGTCATCAGTTTTTTCCTGCATACCAAGAATAAATTATATTTAATACTATGAGCAACCACATCAAATTAAGTTGTAAAAGGGAACGTAACGTGAACACTTCGATGATATAAACATAACTTTCGCATCACTGCTATACTACACCACAAGTAGGATTGCCATGGTACAAAAATGAGATGGTTTGCAGATCAGAAGGTGATGTTAATAGACTCTCCATATTGTTAAGTAAAACTGAGTTGTTTTTCTTTTTATTTTCCTTTTTGTTCCATATGATACTCAATTGATAGAGCCTTAACACTAACCACCTTGAGTTCAAAACATACAACCTTTTGTTCCTTTTTCACAGGTTATATTACACTTAAGACCCCTTTCTGCTGTATGTTTTACCAGTTCACACAATGTCAATGGTACCAAACAGCACCAGTTAGTTGCTCGTCCTTTACTATTTTCTTCTGAAACAATGGAATAACTCCCAAGAGAACAATGGAATAGTTTCAAAACTTCTAAGTTAGCAGAAAATATCCTTTTAGTTGCTCTAAGAGTAATTGGTGGGCTTTTTTTAAAGAAATGTAGAGCTAAAATTGGAATAAATAACCAGTAATAATGTAATACAATACAAATTAGCAAGGGAATTTTGCTTAGGTTCAAAATAAAAATTGAGAAAAGGATGACCCATTTTTCCACCCGATCAAAGAACTCTGCCAGTATAAATCACAATTAAATATTTATGCACAGAAACATACCTTAAGTCTATCATAACACCACCAAAAGTATGCTAAAAATTTCTCTTCACAGATTTCCATACTGCAGAGTTAAAGAACTATAATTATGTTTCCACTAAAGGCACAATACAATATATTCTCCTGGGTCTGCAAAGTTAAGTGGAAAATAACAAAAGTACCAATACTAAAGAATAATTCGTAGCAAAACAAATCCATTAAGAAAATTATCAGAATTCATTCGCTCAATCATTATCCACCCTTTAGAAAACAGATGATAGACACGTAATGAAGATGAAACAATTCAAATTCCCAATCAAAATACCGAATTAACTCAATGAAAAATGACAAAAGTAGATGATAAAGGAAGACACAAGTGAATCACTCACCCATCTAAACGAAATCTTTCTCGGATATCAATGAGGTGAGGAGATGTGAAGAGTCCTGTGCGAAAACCACAGTTACGTAATATAGATTCTGTGAAGGTGCATGTAGATCCCTATAAAAACCCAGTTCAAAAAAACAATTTCCACCATCACAATAAACAGAGTTACTAATCATGAAAAAAACCATAGAATCAGAAATCCGAAGTCAGACTTATCAGTTATCTCTAACTATAAGGAGTCGCAAAACAACAGTGACCAGCTACATAGCATCACTATTGCAAGAAACAAATTGAACTTCCTATGCAGGCCTCATTTCCAAGCAACCACCAAAGTGAAGTGAAAGTACCTTCCCTTTGGTCCCAGCCACATGGATAACCTTCATATTCGCAATTGACTCCTCCAAATCTAGCATCTATAGAATTGCACGATAAAAATCATTGGCAATATCTCATAAAAAATTACCCAACTCACAAACTTTTTACCTTCAGGTAATCAAACAATAGGTTAAACTGATCCCCCACGTTGCTAGCATCAGCACGAGTGCGTCTAACGATCAAAGACGACAAGGCCTCCATTGCTTCTTCATAGGGACTCAAAGACGAGGATTTTGGCGACCCTTTGCCAACTTCTGCGAAAAGGAGAAGACCCCACAACAGAAAATATATAATTATCATCAAAATCAAAACTTACATGAGTTGAAGTAAACGAACATGTTATTATAGAATGAGATGACGGGGAATACCTTGGTCAGTCATGGCGATTGAGGTTTGAATTGGGAATGAAACAGAAAGTGTTTGTCTGAATGGAGATAGGAGGAGGGTGAAAAGCGGAAGATGAGGTTGAGATTTGGAGGACTGAAAAGAGATTGAAGAATTTGTCGTTTGTGATAAACGTTTGAAGATTAATTCCATTTATTTATTTTGTTTTGGCCAATTGAAAACAGAACTATATGCGCTACGTTACAGAAGAATACTTTGGTCATCAGCTACGTACACTATCGCTGGTCCCGTGGCAGAGTTATTGTCACAGTTGCATCGAGATCAATATTTTTGGTTTTCTTACTAGACATTTTTATTCCACCCAACACTAATATAGACATAAAATGTAAGAATTGATTTTATAACTTGAAACAAATATAGGTTAAGTCAACTTATTTATCTGAACTTTTAAGTCAGTTCTTAAAATTTAATTTATGAACTTAATCTACGTACATCATCTTTTATGTGATTATCTAATTAGAAATTATTTTATATAGTAATATCACTGATTTTTATAATAAATACTTTACAAGTTATATTTGTACTTATTTTTACTTCATTAATAGTGTAAAAAATATAATTTTTTTTATTTTTCAATAAGAATCACTAGATATAATACTTTTTCAATAAATTTAATTTATTAATATTATATTACTAAATACAAAACAGAACTATAATATTCTGTATTAAGGTGCTATGAATACGAAATATATATATATATATATATATATATATATATATATATATATACGAAATATATATATATATATATATATAACTATTATTATTGTATTAATTCTAAAACTATTTTTTATATATGCTATACATTGACATATATTAAATTTGGATTAACTATTGTTTTAGAAATTTGATAAAATTGATAATATATCAATATATTATAAATTACCTAAAATAAAATTGAATGATTGACTATAATTATAGTTGTTTTACTTTTATGATTTTAGTAATTTTTTTAAAGATTTCAGATCATATAGTTCTAAAAATATAGAAAGTGTTTGTCAATAAAGTAATAGAAAGTGGAGTTAAAAAAAATTATTAATTGTTTTAATATCATTAAATAATAATTTACTATGTGGAATTCAATTAAGTTTGATCAGTTATGTAAAGTTCAATTCTCCTTCAATAGCATTAAACAATTCAATTTTCCTTTCTTATATATATATATATATATATATATATATATATATATATATATATATAATTTATCTTGATTGCGTTCTAGTCATTCTTAATTTTCCTGACACTATTAAATTTCATAATCATGATGTCGAAGACAGTAATTGGACTTGTGTTATGGCAACTTTTGTGTCAAGGAGAAGAATGCCATTACATTTTATTTTTGTATCGAATATATATATATATATATATATATATATATATATATATATATTAGTGTCATACTATGAGTTATATACTTTGGTGTCAATGAAAATATAATAAAGTTTGTGAAAGCAAAGATTAATATATATTTTTGTAAGTATACTATTTGTTAATAATTAATTCGTCATAAAATTTAGTGCAAAATGAATGCAATAAAATAAAATAAAATATATGACATAAAACTAGTTAAAATATTACACGGCGGAGTAATGTATGTAAAAAACAGAACACAAAATTCATTAAGAAACCGAATAAAATTTTAATTTTGATTTATTGTAATTTTGTACTTTACTAATCAAACATTATACTTGTACGTAGTTTAAATCACATTTTAAGCTTTTATTGAAAACTCACAATTTTAATCTTTAGATTGATTGATACCTAAAATAAAATAGTTCCCAGAAGAGAACGTATTAATCTACGTCTACTTTACAGGACAGCAACATGATACAAAGATGGAAAAAGTGGCTTCAATGCAAGAGGAAGTCCAATAATATTGGATATGTTTAATTTAGTGTTGCTTGAAAAGTAATCGTTCTTTATTTCCCCAACTTTTTAAAAAAACTGAGATAAAAAATAATTATTCACGAGAATTAAGAGGCTTTTAAGCGTGAAATAGATAACTCAACAAAGCTTCTGTAATTAGAAAAATCATCATCCTGTACATTTTCAAAGCTCTATTCTAGTACAAAGCAATTCTCATGATATTTTTCTTCAACCACCACCGACTAAAAGCTAAGAGACACAATCAAGATGAGGACATCAGGCATGCATCAATTGTTAGTTTATAAAAAACAAAAAAACCCCACAAGACAGGACAAAAAGGTACCCTCCCAAACAAAAATGTATTCACACCCATCAAAGCATTTGTCTGAGTTGCTGGTTTTCCTTACGAAGAGACTTCACTTCTTTCATCAACTCAGCTTGGTTTTCCATAATAGAGTTCATTACAGCTGACATTTCCGTCTGTTGCATGAGACAATTGATTAGAGAGGAATTAAAAAATGAAAATCACCACACTAATTCCAGATACACACCTCTTGCATATGAAACTGCCTTAAAATTTCAATATGAAGGTTTCTCATATCCTCGTGTATGGATTTCTGGAAGGAATCAAGAGTTTCTTCTAGCGTCCGTTGAAAAAGCTGAAGTGTAAACGAAGATCCTTGTGCATCTGGCTGAGATGCTTTCTGTTGTGAGATTACTCCCTATCATAAATTTGACAAAATGAATAAGAACATTAGAGCAAATAAATCAAACGTTATATAACTAGCATCCTTTATAATATGAAAAATAACAATCTATATCAAAGAAACCCACACCCTTGTACTATTCAAGTCTAGCACAGAAATGGAAGAATCTTGGATGAAGAATCAGAGGAAATTATTTACTATCTTGCAAACATTTACATCAATATATGCAAAGCAATAATCAGATCTAATTAATTTGTAAATATTAACATACACTTGTCAGCGGTAATGAGCCAGATTCTGTCGGAGCAGATATATCAGACTTCAACAGCAGACTATTTAGAAGTTCTTCTCTGGTTTCAGCTCCTGATTTCTTAATCTTAGGGGAGCTAACTGAAAGGGATACTCCATCGCTGAAGGTAGATGTAGTGCTTATTCTTTCTGCATAAGTAGAAAATCTTCGATTAAAAGATGACATTCTCGGGGAATCAAGGAGTTTTGAGGAATCAATGCTTGTTTGTCCAAGGCTGGTTTTTGTATTGACGGACAAAGGCAAAGAAGTAGAGAATGTGTGATCAGTAAACCCCAAGGAAGTCTCCTGGCTTGTAGAGACATCCTTGGCACGTAAATTGGCAAAACTTAGGCTTGAACTGGCATATGAACTAACACCCACGGATGAGGATGTATCCTGTAATCCAGATAACATTGATCCTGCTGACTGACCACCAGAAGCCAACATCCCAAATCGAGATGGTACATTGACAGGTTGACGAGGATAAGCATATTTTTCACTTAACCGCTCACCACCCCAAGCTTCTGGAGGAGTGATAGAAGAATCTTCAGTTTTTGAAGAAGGAGGGGGAGGTGTTGACCCCGCAAGTTGAAAGGAAGACTGAGTAATATCCTTCAATTAGATTGAAAAACAATCAGTCAAAATTTGCCTGGAAAAATATATGTTTGGAATGAAAAAAAAAAAGGATTTAATTTATTCTTCAAATTTATGTTTCAAATGTTAATAAAATAGGAAATTATTATTTTCTAAATCTCATGGATTGAAACTTTGAATTTATAGATTCTGTCAAATATGATTGGATTTTAAATAAATATAACAATTTTACCCTTACTAACTTTATCATTTTACCTTGCAGAAAAGTAGAAATATAAAATATTTAAAATAAAATAAATTCCATTTTTAATTAATTCCAAACATAAGAACAGATATCCAAATCAAATCATATCCCATTTTTCAGATAAGTCCCAAGCGTAATATTTGATTTTTAAATAAATTCAAATCAAATAAAAAAAATTATTTCCAATTTCAGTTTATTCTAACACATGGAACTTCTCCAAGCAGGTCCAATACAGATTTCAACCCAAACATACAATACATGATAATATTGGGAATGATTTGATGAAACAATTTAGAAAACAGACCAGAAGTAGCATGCCTTCTTTAAAGATCACAGGGTGGGGACCTTAACCATAAAGAGATGCCGGGAAGGAGGGGGAAGGGAATATTATTAGCAGTGCAACTAAGATCTGGGATATTTGAACTTAAGAAGAAAAAAAAACTATGGCATCAGCTTGTGGGCATTAGAGCATTAAAGTTCTACAGATTAACAATGTTTAACCAAGCAGCATGGATAGGAGGAAACAGAGATTTATTTAACTTTGAATTGAAGGTTTATAGATCAGTATTTCACAGAACAGTTCAAAACCAGGGTTATGTGAGACAATAACCTGCTTGGAAGATGAGCCAGATTTCCAATCAGATATTGGATGATCACTGATTCCTTCCTCAGAACTTGAGAATCTTCTACTAGATGACGGAAACAACATAGGTTTCCTATCAGAAAATAAATTATCCTTCTTTATCCCATTTTCATCCCAAAGCGAGGGTGTTAATGGTTGAACATCCACAAGAGGGGAGAAGACCTCCATGTCATCCTTCAAGTTATAACTACCACGGGGAGCATGCAACCTTGATAGGGTTCCACCTGGCCATAAATGGTTTCGTTGTGGAGTTTCTTCTGCAGTAGGTGCACTTAGTATGTTGGGAAAACCACTGCCAGATGTCGTAAATGAAGTGGCATCAATGGATGCACCCACGCGACCTGAGTTCCTAGAATTCAGCATAGATGTGTTTAGAGAAATGTTTGATGAAGTTGAAGAAGGTAAAGGATCAGGCATAAGTATTGAATCTTCAACTGCATCTCCCACAAGAGCAGTCTCTGCAGTGCAATTTCTTTCATCAACAACAACTGGTTTAGACCTTTGCCAGCATAAACTCGTAACAGCCTGTTGCATGCTATAATAATTAGATAAAAAGAAGATATTAATTTTACAAACATAAATCAATGACTAACATTGGGAGATTTTATTCTTCATTTTAAAATGCATCATTTTATATTGTGTTAAGGGTAGCATTACTTATTATTAAATGACTTTAGTATAATATGGCAGTTATATTAACTATGAGCAAGCAACAAGAAGGGTTTGACTAAATTCAGGCTTGAGTGTGATTCAAAGCTGGTGATTGAGGCATTCCATAAAGTTTCTATTGTGCCATGGTGCATGCGTGGGAGATGCAGTTGAGGATATCGCACATTTACCATGAAGGCAATAAAAGTTCAGATGGCCTTGCAAACTTTGGTTTTGATGTAAGACATGATCGTTGTCGGTTTGATGCTATAGCTGATTGTATAAAGGATAGCTTCTTTAGGAATAGATTTGTTATAAGTTTAGGTTTTGTTGATTGTAGTTATAAGTTTTGGCTTGGTTCCCTCATGATCTCTTTGTATTTCATTTTCTTTTTCTTTAATAATATTTTGACATGTGGCAGATGATTGATGTAATTAGAGGTTTTAACCTTGTTGGGACGTCTTTGTTCCATAGTGATGCCTAGCATGTTAACTTAAAAGAAAAAAAAAAATTCACTGCTTAAAAAGCCTCTTGGGAGTTTAGTTTCCACATTTATAATCATCCACAAAAGAGAAAACAACTCATGTTCTGATCTATATTGTATTAAATGTAAAAAATTCTTTTGCTATTCAATTATACATGGTACAATAGGTTTTGCAACCTCACTGTCGAAAATCGAGCATCTTCTCCTTCAATCTATTTTTAAAGAAATTTGATAGCAGAACACTTTTTCGTCTCTGATCAACCATACATAGGTAAATATATATCAAGTGAAAAAAATGGTTTATCATGAGTGATGAAATAAAACTGCTCACATAATCTAGTAAAATTGGTCAAATGAAAAGATCAAGTCATGTTAACAAGAATAACTAGGAAGGAGGTATTAGTTTTAGGTCATATAACAGATCTAAAGAACTTTCTTAGAACATACCTGTGTTACTCATCAAAGTGAAATTCCTATACCCATTCTTAATAAATTTGTGCACGTATATAAATCTGGTGCTCAACAAAATATGGAAGAAATCTATACAGATTATGTATATTGACAGACATAAATAAGATAGCTTGCTCATCCATTACAGAGCATCAAGGGAATTGCTATGAATGCATCTTGGATAAGATTACAATGCCTACGTTCCCCCTTTTGGGATTGTGAAAAAACTACTTTTTAAGTAATTGTGGAAGCTTGTCAGTGAGTGTTAGATGCAAAATTAGTTTTTTAACATCAAGCAATGTATTATAAAATTCAAACTAGCAATGTATTTTGCATGTCAGTGCCCACATTCCATTTTTCATTGCAGTGTTAGATGCAAAATACATCGAACAATTTTCAACTTCCTTGAATCTATCCTAATGTTAGATGAGACAAATATTGAGCAGTGACCAACTAACAGGCTTAATGCATTAAAGCAGATCTAAACAAAAAAAAAAAAAAAAACATTGCTGAAGAGGCTAAGGATTACCTCAGAACTACCATATGCGTGAAGAACAGCAACAGGCTGTGGTTTGCCACGAACATCATAGAATGCCACACGGCCATTGCTAGTTCCAGCTGCCAGCATCCAACCATCATCTCTAAAGGCCAGTGAAGAGAAAGGTGCTTCATAGGAAATGTAAGATGATGGTCTTCTAGATCCCGAATCGTAAATGTACATCTTTTTATCAAGGCCAACACTAGCAATGATCTGTTAATTGCAGAAAGAAATCAGAAAGCAAAATTATTGTAACCCAAATAATGGGTCAAAAGTTTACAGCAGGATGAAACAGTATCACTGTATATTATAAAACTCAAACTAGCAAATGAAAAATGGAACCTTGTCATTGGATGGAGAGAAGCTAATACCAGCAGTTGGAGCAGAATGCTGCTTTGTCCATGAGACCTTTTTTTTTCAAAAACAATGAAAGAAAAAGAAAAGAAACTATATAATCAACTCAAAAGTATCTACTTGAAATAATAATGAAAATTAAAAGGCAAGAAAGGAGAAGCTTAATCAAGAAAGAGCTAATTCATTACACTAAAATAATACCAAACTTATTACTGAGACATATGATCATAAAGTTTGTATAAGAAATATAAGAGAGAGATCTTACAAACACAAGTTATTCTTTATTAATTTTTTTTTAATGGAGAAGACCAATTTGTGATTTCAACTATCAACAAGTTCATTTTTGGTAGAATTTTGCAGGATATGCTATTTATACATATAAAGAGAACATATTGCATACCTTAGGGCTGCGACCAGTTGTATCCCACAAATGTACCGTCCCATCGTCGCCAGCAGTCACAAGAAGGTGACGACTAACTCTAGAATAATCAAGAACTCTCAACATCTGGTCTTACAATTTCAAAGATAGAAGATTAGTCAATAAACACAAACAAAGCAAAGCACCAAGATGCAGAATGTGGTTCAATTTCAACAAAGCAGAAAAACCTGTTGATTGGGATCTTTGAGATCTGCAGCTTTTTGCCCGGAAGCAAGGTTATGAAGCATTAGGTCTCCACTAAGGCTGATAGATGCCAAATGTTCATCCTTACAATTGTACATTACACCTGTGACAGTATTAGTATGACCCTTTAGCCATTTAATACAGCGTTTCCTTTGCAAATCCCATATCCTTACAACTTGACCAGTTCCTCCAGAACATACATATCTGGATGCCTTGTTGCTGAAGCTGATAGTCAATATAGATTCCTGCCAGGAAAAAAGCCCGGCATGAAGCCATGAATGAAGTAACACAGAAAGAACAAAAAAGAAACAGATTGTCTGACTGATCCTGCCAAAATTATGATCTACAAGGACCACCAGAGAAGAACTAGAAGCATTACACAAAGGGGTCTCCCTGCCTTTGTTGATTCTTCTGAAAAATTCAAAAAGAGCCAACTTTGACAGGATGATCTTCCCCCCTCATGCATAATCAAAGTTCAATCTCTGTTAATTGGATCAAATGTTGAAGGAGATTTTTTATGTCATTTTTGTCTTTAAGAATATCATTAAATTTATCCCACAAATGTAACACAAGTTTGTGGTAATAACATTGTATCTTCAAGGAAAAACAAGTGCAAAGACAACAATTATAAGGCACTTCATATAAGTGAAAAGACAATAATGTTCAGGCAAAGAACAAACATAAGGCTTTAAAACTTGTACACAATGTTGACAGTGAACTGATAATAACTCACACGTGCGGTCAACTAGTATTGGATTTGGCTCCTTTAAAACAAGGACCTTTACACCACTAAAGTAAAGTGGATTATATGCTTTAATTCAAATCAATCATGAATAATATGTCACTCTCTCACAGTACACATTTCACTTTAGAAGAGCTAACCTTATATTAGACATAACTCTAACAAAAACAACTAGCCTTCCACCATGTCCCTCTGTTGAAAATGAGAAGTGCAACGAGTGAACTTGGCATTGTTGAAAGTCCCACATCACCTACCTCATATCATTTGTAATGATTTAAATACATGTTAGGCTACTCCACATATTGTCAATTGGTTTTATGTTGGAACCTTAACATGGTATCAGAGCCAAAGCCTTTCCGGTTATTGTCATGGGCCAAAAGTTGCTCTTTAGTTGGGTCAAAAGTACCCTTTGTCTGGTCCGGCAGGCTTTGTTGGAGAGGGTGTGTTGAAAGTCCCACATCGCCTACCTCATGTCATTTGGTATGATTTAAATACATGTTAGGCTACTCCACATATTGCCAATTGGTTTTATGTTGGAACCTTAACATGTTGAATATAGAGAAAATAGGGTTTGGAATTAATTTTCCTTGTGTATAAATCACACATAGGGTAGTCTATTTATAGTAGAGAGATACAACTAAAAGTGTAACTGAAAGTAACAGAATAAACAAAAGATATTGTTTGATATTGTGGTTAACAATATCTAACAATATCTTAACAATATCAAATAATATCTAAACAATATCTAACACTCCCCCTCAAGCTGGAACATACAAATTGTATGTGCTAAGCTTGTTACAAATATAATCAATTCTAGGATCCCGTAAAGATTTAATAAAAATATCTGTTAACTGATCACTTGAGTTAACAAACTCATTCTTGATGTCTCCAGACATAATCTTTTCTCGAATGAAATGACAGTCAATCTCAATGTGTTTGGTCCTCTCATGAAAGACAGGATTAGAACTAATATAAAAAGCAGCCTGATTGTCACACACAAGTGACATTTGAGTGACATCTCCAAATTGTAACTCTCTAAGAAATTGCTTTAGCCAAACAAGTTCACAGGCAGCTGAGGTCATAGCTCTATATTCTGCTTCTGCACTAGATCTTGCCACAACACTCTGTTTCTTACTTTTCCATGAGACCAAGTTACCACCAATGGAGACACAATATCCAGATGTAGATCTTCTATCCGAAGGAGATCCTGCCCAATCAGCATCTAAGTAGCAAATAACTCTTGTATGGTTATTAGAATCATATAACAATCTTTTTTCAGGAGATCCTTTAATATACTTTAAGATACGAATGACTGCATTTCAATGATCTTCACATGGAGAATTAAGAAATTGGCTTACCACACTGACTGCAAAGGAAATGTCAGGACAAGTAACTGTAAGATAATTCAATTTTCCAACCAATCTTTTATACTGCTCAGGATCAGGTATAAGCTCTCCCTGATTTGGTAGAAGTTTAGTATTGTGATCCATGGATGTATCAACAGACTTTGAATTCATCAACCCAGTTTCCTCCAAAATATTCATGGCATACTTCCTCTGAGATATAACAATATCATCATTGGACTGTGTCACCTCAATACCCAAAAAATATCATAGTTTACCAAGATCTTTGGTCTGAAAATGGTGACAGAGATGTTGTTTCAACTGAGAGATGACATGGTTGTCACTACCTGTAAGAACGATGTCATCAACATATACTATCAAGTAAACACATCCAACACTTGAGTGTCGATAAAAGACAGAGTGATCTGCTTCACACCGAGTCATACCAAATTGTTAAACAACCTTGTTAAACTTTCCAAACCAGGCCCTAGGAGACTGTTTTAGGCCATATAGGGATTTGCGAAGATGATATACCATCCCAGAAGACTCCCCCTGAGCAACAAACCCAGGAGGTTGCTCCATATAGATTTCTTCTTGCAAATCACCATTGAGGAAAACATTTTTAACATCTAGTTGATAAAGAGGCCATTGTTGAAGAACGGCCATGGCAATAAATAAACGAACAAAAGTCATCTTTGCCACGGGGAAAAAGGTATCTCCATAATCTAACCAAAAAATTTGAGTATAACCTTTGGCCATAAGACGAGCTTTGAGACGATCAATAGTACCATCAAGTCCAACTTTGATAACAAACACCCACCTTTTCGGAGGGTAATGGAAAGGTCAGACTCAGGTATCTCATCCGGAGGAGACAGAGTAGTTGGTACTTGAGTAGAGTCACATGGTGGTGGTTGTGATTGGTTTCAACAATTATAAACCTGAAGAGGCAGTGAAAAAGAAGCTGACTGCGGAGCAAAAAATCCTGTGTCAATCACCTGTTTCGAACTCCGGTCCTGTGTGTGAGACAGACACAGTAGAACTAGAAGATTGTTGATCCTTATACCATTTGAAAAATTTGTTGAACATATCAGGTGTGTCTGATAAAATAGAAGGAGGAGGATCCTTAGCAGATAAAGGTGGGGAAAGATCAGTTTAAGCAACTGTAGCAGATCGAGGAGGACGACCATGTAATGCATAACACTTGTCAATCTTGTGACCTAGCTTGCCACAATGTTCACACTCATGTAATGCATAACACTGGTCAATCTTGTGACCTAACTTGCCACAATGTTTACACTTAGGACGCTCTTTTCTCTGTTTGCGAGGGCGAGTTCGGTCATCACGGTGAGATACCAATGTAGAAGAATCATTAACAAAAGTAGGTGTGTCAGGGTTGGGTTTTGTTGGTATACGCAAAAGAGTGGAACAGGTCGATGTCAAGGTGGGGACAATTGGAGAACTCAAAATCTGATCACGAATATGTGAATATTGATCAGCAAGTACGTGTAATGCCCCTAGCATGAAAAACTTTGATCGTTGTGCTATCTCGATGGCAGGGTCGGGGGAAGGAGGCAATAACTCATTGAACTCATGAAAAAGAGCATGAATTTTGCCCATATAATCAATCATAGAATCTTGATGTTTAGAGGCAATAACATCTACAAATTTAGAACAAACATCATAGAGACATTGAGTATCATTGGTGTATAATAACTTGGCATGTTCCCAGATTTTGGCATATGTTTCGTAGGAACGAAAAATTTGTTTTAACGAAGAATCAAGAGTACCCTTGAGAACCACACATAATTGAGCATCAATGGTGTCCCAACGGTCTTCCTCACCAGGAGTGAGAGTATGTGTTTTCGAAGCAAGATGATCAAGATACTTCTGACTCTTAAGCCATAATCTGATGTCTGATGACCATGTGGCATAATTAGGGCCAATTAACTTGTTAATGGATAAGTGCACATTAACATAGTTAGTGTAGATGGAAGGATCAGACGCAGTACTGACAAAATTGGAAGTACTAAAAGGAGCGGAAGAAGTCATAAAGGACGGAGGCGACAGAGGCGTTAGTGACAGCGGCGTGAACCAGTACACCAGGTAAGTTCCTAGGAAAGAGAGATGGGTCACTAATGGACACGCTTAAATACTAAGTCTTTCCTTGTCAGAACCTTCCTAGACATGCACTTTCACACTACCAAATAATATCCAGTAACAAAAATAACATTTTTCTGATGTGGAAGATCAGTTTAACCAACAGCAATAGTGGCGGTGGTGGCTGCTCCAACAGTGGTCAAAGACGAAAATTTTTTTTCAAAATAACCTTAAGCTCTAGATACCATGTTGAATATAGAGAAAATAGGATTTGAAATTAATTTCCCTTGTGTATAAATCACACATAGGGTAGTCTATTTATAGTAGAGAGATACAACTAAAAGAGTAACTAAAAATAACAGAATAAACAGAAGATATTGTGGTTAACAATATCTTAACAATATCAAATAATATCTAAATAATATCTAACATAGTGTTCACCCGAAACTAGCCCAAAGGGCTGGTGCACAGCCAGCAAGCATAGTTTCCTGAGCTTGGGAGTGTGATGAGATGTTAGTATCCAATTGCAAGTATGAGACTTCCGTCCCACATTCAAGGTATGGGATTCTAGTGTGAGGTTTAAAAGGCCAAGGCCTCTCCACTTACTACAGCTAACTTTTGTGGTATGATTCTCCCAATGTTCTTAACACTATGCCGTTGGTGGTTGCGGTAGGGGTAGGAGTGGTTATGTATTATTAGAGTTCGTGATAGAAAATATCTCATCGTGTATTACCTGGTCAGTTCTATATTATAGAATCAGAAACTCCCTTGATGACAGTTAAGTATTATAGGTTGCGTAATAAGCTGTTGACCTTTGAAGTTTGTGACTTGTTCTAAACTTTTGAGCTTTGTCTCATGGAGAGCAATAGCATTGGCACGTAGTGTGCATTTTGTGTCAACTAATTTCTATTTCTTTATCAAATGCTCTGTAAATAAAACATCAAATAAGTAAGCATTTGCCAGAAGTGACCTCAATGTTGTCTCCACTATCATTGCCGGCAACCGGAATGGTCCCCATTGTGTGCCCATTCTTCCGCCATAGCGAGATCTTCTTATCGTCTCCAGCACTGGCCACAACTAAATCTGCGAAAAACTCAAATTCAGCGCAATCGAGGACTATTAGGGGAAATGCAAACCCTAGAAAGCGAACAGGGGAGAGATATACTTACTGGTGTGGTTCCACTTGACCGAATTGACTTGGGAACCGGGAGAAGGGGTGAAGCTAAGGGCACAGGGATCGCCGGAGGGCGTGTACACGCCAGGCTTGACGGCGGAGGCGTCGAAGAGTTTGACGGTGTCGCCGCCACTGGCCGCCAACAACGCCATTGACGGATCGCGAACGTACCGAATTTGAATTTGAATTTGAATTTGAAATGTGATTTTCAGGAGAAATGGTTTTGCGAGGGTAGCATTCCCGATTTGATTTCAAATATAAATATGAATTATAAACCCTACAAAAACAACCCACTCTACCAGAAAGAGAGAGAGTAAAAAATTTGAAAGAAGAAAAAGTTAGCGAACGGGCGCCTTTATATGCTCTTCATCATCGTTCCCACCCCCGCTCTCTAGCAGTCAGTGACTCTATCTCTTGTCCTGGTAATTACCTCTTACTTTTATTTTTTTTTTATTAATATTACGTTCGTTTCCTTTGCTTGTTTTTTACACTGCATTGCTAGAAATGGTTGCATTGCACCTCCTTTTTCTTCTTTTATAATTTTAAATTTTTTAAAATGCTATGGTGGTTCAAAGTTTCATTATGTTTACATTAATTTTGAACTACAATTTTTTTAAAATAAATTATTTTAAACTACACATTTTAACAATGTCAGGTTTAATCTAACAGAAGGACAACATTAGTAATTTTGAAAAGAAAAATTAAAAGACAAAGATGAGAACTTAAAATATAATTTAGAACACAAACGACTAAAACAGGAATTAAAAAAAAAAAAACTAAGAAACCAAAGTAATATTTTAACAATAATACAATTCTGGAGAAACTTATAAGGCATAAATGAGAAAGGATTTTGTACATTTAACACTCCTTACGACTAAAAGAAAGTGGAAACTGAAAGTGAGAAATAAATAAAGAAAACAGAATAAAAATAATAATAATTTGATTAAAGAAAAATAGATAAAAATAAATAAAAATTTATTTAATTTAAAAGAAAAAAATAAATTATTATTAAAATAACATATTGTCCTTCCAACATGTGTTATTTTTATTTTAAGAAACATCACATAATCCGTCATGCATTTTACTTGCTAACCAAAGTTTCATTAAAATTAAACCCCGTGCTGCATACGTATTTGTAGCACTATAATCTATTATAATATCAATTGATTATATTGAAATTATAACTGATGATGGGAACTACCAATAAAAAAAATAAGAATACTCACGTAAAAAATTAATTTTTTTCCGAATTTTTCATTGAAGTGTAAATTAGACTCCACGTGTTATTTGTAGAAACAACAAATGTAGCAGGTGTGTTACCTTTACTCTTTCCAGCACTGTTTTATATTACTCTTTTCAATATGTTCTCTTGTTAGTTGAAATTGATTGAAAATGATTATTTTTTTAGTTTCATTTCTAAATTAGAAGAGAGTCTTATTAAATGGAAGACACAATGATTTTTCAATAAATTCGAGCTAATAATTAGTATCTGCCCCGTTTTTATCCTGCCCTGTCTAATCTATCAAAAATGAACGGGATAGGTCAAGGTTACAAATCTTAATTTGTTTTGTTAAATATTAGGTTCAAGAGCTAGTAAATTAATCTGTTAATATTTTTTTTAGATAAATTTTTTTAATCGATTAAGTAAAATGTTTCAAAATAATTAATAAATTAAAATTATTAATTTTTCATTTTTGAGCCAGATTGACGGATTAATTTACGGATATAATATGTTTTATTATCTTAATAATAATAAAAAGTGTTGAAAAGAATATTAGACAAACTGTCACTAATATTCCTAGAAAAATAATGATCTGAAATAATGTAGAGACTCATGTTAATTCCAAGTTTCTCCAAGCAAATATGAAAACCAACACAATCTGGCATGGATTTGGCTTACTTCCAATTCCTTTGCTTCTCCCGGTTTTTTATGACATCATTTTCAATTATTTCTTATTAAATTGTAACAATTTTTTTATTATTTAATTTTAATAATTAACTTCTAGTTTATACGTTATTTTTATAAAATAAAAAATGTATGTACAAAATATTTTAACAAAGAAATTGAATTATTATTTATATTAATTTTTAATATTAAACTACTTTTTATTGAATAAAAAAATTATACTAAAAGGTATTATACTTGCATGTATTATAAAAAATTTAAAAAATAATTTTTCAATTTCTTAGTGACACATGTAACTTCATATTATCAAGAATGATAATTATAAATAAAAAATAAATAAATTTATTATATAATAATTTATAAAATAATTTTTTAAATTTTTTAATGACACATATAACTTCATATTATAAAGATTGATAATTATAAATTAAAAATAAAATTATATAATAATTTAAAATTATTTTTTATACAATTTAAAATTTAAAATTAATTAAGATTTTATTATTATTTATTAATTTTTTGTAATATGTTGTATGCAGTATAAATATTTTGCAATTTGTTCTTATGTATAAAATTTTTATTTAATAAAAAGCAGTTTAATATTAAAAAATAATTAAAATGATAATTCGATTCTTTGTCTGAGATATTTTTTATATAATTTTTTTGAGAAAATAGTTTATGTATTAAAAAAACGATGATTAAAATTAAATAATAAAGAATTATTCGTAAAGATATAAAATCAAATTTAAGAATTCAATTGAAATTTAATTAGGGTACAACTGAATTTAATAAACTAATATTTTTATAAAATAATAATATATAATAAAATTATTAGTAATAATTTTTTTATAAAAGTATATAAATAATTAAGGTTATTATGATTATCTTAAATTATAATAAAAATTATAAATGTAAAATATAAGATGAATTATATTTAAAGTAAAATCAAAATATAATAAAATAATTATTATTTAAAAGTGAGTACTAGAAATAAAAAAACTAAAATATATTTTTTTTATATAAAAAGTTAAAAAAAGTTTGATTTTAAAATTTCTTTTATTAAAACAAGTTTAAATTAAAAACTTTGTTGATTGTTCTGATTTTATAGTAAATTTTTTAATTAAGTCTTGATTTAATTAAAATTCGATTATTTAAAAATAATAAACTGATTGTTCGATTACACAAGTTGAATCTATTGATCTAATTCGATATTTATAACAATTATCTAAAGCATAGTTTAAAGTCCAAAGTTCAAATACTAAAATTTAAAATTTAAAGTCCATAATTTAAATCTTAGATCAAAGTTAAAAGTCCCTTGTCCAAATTCTCAAGGCTCAAATCCTAAGTCGCAAGTTCAAAGTCCTAAATTTTGAGTTTAAAGTTTTTATGTCATAGGTTGTAAGTCTTAAGTCCTAATTCTAAAGTCCAAAGTTTAAAAGCTAAAGTTTAAAGTCTAAGTCTAAAGTCCTGTTCTAAGTCTTAAAACCTATATCCTATATCCTAAGTCCCTAGTCCTAAGTCTCAAATTCTAAAAGTTTTAAGTGTTAAATCCTAAGTTCCTAAGTCTTAAGTCCATAAACATAAGTCTCTAGTTTTATGTCCTAAGTTATCAATCCAAATTCATACGTCACCTTAAGTCTTAATTCTTATGTCATAAGCCCTAAGTCTTAAGTACTATGTTTTAAGTTCTAAGTCTCAAGTTTTAAGTCCTAAACCTTAAGTCTTATACTCTAAATCCAAAGTCCAAAGTCCCTAATCTTAAGTCCAAACTCCCTAGTCCAAAGTCTCAAGCTTTGAGTCTCAAGTCTCAAATCCAAAGTCCCAAGTCTCAAGTGTTAAGTAAAAAGTTTGTAGTCTTAAATCCCTAGTTTTAAGTTTGTGATCCAAAATCCCTAGTCTAAAGTCTTTAGTTCAAATTCTCAAGTTCAAAATCCCAAATCTCAAATCTCAAGTACCAAGTGGAAAGTCAAAAGTTCAAAGTCCACATATCATATGTCTTAAGTCCTAAAGCCTATGTCATATATCTTAAGTCCCAAAGTCCCTATGTCATATATCTCTAGTCTTAAGTCTTAAGTCTCCTAAGTCCAAAGTTCTTAGGTCCTAAGTTCTAAGTCCTTACTCCTAAATCTCTAGTCCTATCCTAATTTTTATGTTCTAAGTCTTATGTCTTAATTCCTATGTCTTAAGTTCTAAGTTGTAACTCTTACATTTCAAGTCCTAAGTTTTACATGTTAAGTCTTGAGTCCTATATCCTAATACCTAAGCCCTAAAGTCCAAGTTCAAAGTCTCTCGTCAAAGTAAAAAATCCCTAGTTCAAAATCCAAAGGTCCAATGTCCATAATCTAAAGTCTCAAGTCCTTAATCCAATGTCTCAAGTCCAAAGTCCAAATTTTAATGTCCTAATTCTCAAGTTTCAGGTGTCAAGTACCAGGTGCAAAGTCAAAAGTCCAAAGTCAATATGTCATATGTATTAAGTCCTAAAGTCTATGTTCTATGTCCTAAGTCCCAAATCCTTACTTCTAAGGCCTAAATCTTAAGTATCAAAGTATGAAAGTCCTAAATCCTAAGTTTATAGGTCTTAAATTCAAAGTCTTAAGTTTCTAATCATAAGTCCTTAATCCTAAGTTCCTAATCCTATGCTCTAAATCTCTAGTCCTAAGTCATCAGTCTTAATTCCTATGTCCTAAGTCCTAAGTCTTAATTCCTATATCTTAAGCCATTTGTCCTAAGTTCTAAGTCAGAAGTCCTATGTCCTAAGTCTTAAGTTTCAAGTTCTAAGTACTAACTCCTAAGCTCTAAATCCTAAATCTTACACCCTAAGTCTTAATCCCTAAGTCATAAGTTCTAAGTCTAAAGTCCCTAGTTTTAAGTCTCTAGTTTAAAACTTCTAGTTCAAAGCTCAAAGTCCTTAGTTCAAAGTCTTAAATTTAAAGTCCCTAGTTTCAAATTCCAAGTCCAAAGTCTCAAGTCTCATGTCTAAAGTCCGAAGTCCCAATTCCTGAATCCTAAGTCCCAAGTTTCAAATCTCAAGGACAAAGTCTAACGTTCATGTATCATATGTCCTAAGTCTTAAAGTTTTAAATCCTAAGTTCCTAGATCCTAAATATATAATCTTAAATTCCTAGTCGTAATCCTAAATCTTAAATCATCAATCATAATTATTATTTCCTAAGTCCAAAATATTATGCCTTAAATCCTATAATACTTATGTCTTCGGCAATATTTTTAAAAACACATGGTTCATGTGAAGTTCAAATAAAATTTAATCCAATTTAATAAATTAATATTTTTATAATATAACAATTTATAATAAATTTATTAATAATAATTAAAAAAATAATGATAAAAATTATTATCATCATCATAATAAATTATAATAAAATATAAAATGAATTATAAGTTATAATAAAGATTAAAAAAGATAAAATATATTAAAAAATATAAGATGAATAATAATTAAAATAAAATAATATTATAACAAAAATAACTGTTATTTAAAATTAATATAACTAATATAAAATAAAAAATTAAAATATATTATATTTTTTATTAAAAAAATATATAAATTTTTTTATATTTAATTTAAAAAAAAACAATTTATCAAAAACCTAATAATTTTTATGATTTTATTATACTAATTTTTCGATTTTATGTTAATTAAATTAAAATTCAGTTCCTTAGAAGGAAGAAATCCGATTCTTGATTGAACCATTCAATTCAATTTTCAAAAAGTTACTAGAATCTATTATTAAATATGAATTGAAAATGAAGTCGTTTAGAAATCGGTAAAGAGAAACAGGAAATTTGCGCTGGAAAAACGGCCCTATATATCGGAATGTCACCCAAAATTCCTACGAATCCAAGCAAAGAAGCAACACAGATGTTCCAAAATAAGGTGATCAGCTATGGTACAGAATACTACCTACTGGCTATCAGATCAAGATCTAATAGTACAAGCATAGACCACTAAGAAACCATAACATCCAAGCAATTGCACCTTTACTAACTGAATAAAATTGACCAGAATCATCAACACAAACTGCTCTATCTGTGTAAATTGATAGTCTAAGAGGACCTCTCAGAGCACAGAAGGTCATTTCCACAGCATCCACAACACATATGTACATATTGCGTCGTAGAATAATTATGAAAAAAAACAAAATGAAGATAAAAGCCTTCGCTTTTATGGCCACCCAGAAGTGCTTAATATTTCTTATAGTGTATGGCCATCCACCTCATGCTCAATGCATGACTGGATGCTCTAGCAGTAAACTTGCTCGTCGTTCGCCATCACCTCGGAATAAATAGAACATAAGACTATGCAATCTTCAGCATTTAATTTAACCCCATGAATACATCTGTACCAGAGTAGATAAAAAGAGGAAAGAAAAAGTTAATAGTCAACGTACAGCAGCTGAGTGACGAATGCGTAGTATAGTTGTCCATTAAAATAGATGCTAACATGAAAAGAGATGAAAAAAGGAGTTTCCTTTGGCATTCATCTGAGGGAATTTCCTACTCTAACAGATCATACAGTCAAATGAAGAAATGAATACCACATACAATTAAAAGAAATAGTGATTGACAGAGAAAATGTATCTCAGACAGATTCTACCTTTTAAACAAACTAAATTCACCCACTCACAAAAAAGGAGGAAACAAGAGTTCATAAGAAATATCTGACAGAATGCAAAATAAAGCAGCTTCTAACTATAACTGGGTTTGTAGCAAAGGATTCAACTCGCGTTGCAAATTGTCAAGCCCAAGAGGATGTTATATTTTCATGCTGTGCTTAGAATAACATTTTTATGTATTAAAGTAAGCATTGATAGTAACCACCATTTGCAGCTTCACAACAGAGCAAAAAAATAACTGATATTTTCTTTGAACAATACCTCTCAAAACTTGATCTTTAATTCAGCCAAATGACATAATGTGATCCATCTGACCAACCTCACCTACTGATATAAACCTTCCATTGATGTATAGTATTTTTTTCTTTCCAAATAGGAATACAGTCAAAGATCTTACACAACTCCATTTTCTTTCCGTGATATGAAAAAAAATGTCGAATGTAGATGTAGTTTCTTGGACGCTTTTAAGGTTATTCTTCCCCCAGATTGAAAGATTCACCTTGGTAGCCAGCACCAAGCTTTATTGTGCACAGATCATTGAAGTGATAGTTTTGATTCTAGAATAACACTAAAAGCACTTAAAACCTGTACATAAACTTTGTTCTTAAACTTATTTTTGGTTTCTTGCACACGAGCACGGTACATTTGTTTCAAAGTAGTGTATGTTTGGTACAGATTATTATTGAAGAAATAATCACTTACTCTCCAAAGCTCTGATGATGTTAGAAAATAAACAACTGTTCTTCCAAAATGACCTCAATCAAACATGCACTTAAAGTGTAAAATAATCTGCAAGTTTATTTCACATATTGGAAGTCATCATGCAGCAAAAGGAATATCTCCATTTTAAATTTTAAACTACGAGCCTTTTTTGTTTTCTTTAAGAAAAAAATATTTTTAATCAAAAGACTAGTTTAATAAAATTTATAATTATAAAGTTTTTTTTTAAAAAAAACTTTAAAACAAGTGTTTTATATTTAAAAAGGTTTTTGAGAATAAAGGACTTAAAAACAAGTCATATCCTATTAATCACTTTTTATTTTAAGCTTAAAGAAACGACCATCCGGTATAACTTATTGTGGAGAGGGAATCGATTATTTGCCAGCTTCCCACGAGGGCTTTTGTTTCAGATTTTCAGTCACTATCAAAATACCTTCATAAATTAATAAATTTTATGCATACCTCCACAAATGCCTGATGCTAATGAGCATAAAAGCAAACATTTGAGTCATTTAACTGGATTTTCTTAATAGAAACTTGATCCCAAAATCATAAAATAAAAAACTTTGACCCTGACAATGCAGTAAAAACAGTTACATGATTTCCTTTTAAAATTATATTTGTTATTTGATAAATCATTTTCGAAAATACAGCATGACCTTGTAAAGGCTTTGAGCTTTCTTATAGTTTGTTGTTTTCACTACTTGAACTAAAAAGGTATAGTTATTAACAGGTTCAATCATTGTAAGTAAATCCATGCAACCCCATTATAAAAAAATGGTCAAAATATCCTCTTATTCAGTTTGAAAAGTAGTTGATCAAATTTTATAAATTATAAGAACCATCCCTCTCCATTCAGAAGAAAAGCAAAATAACAATACAAAAACCAGAAGTCTCACAAACAATATAGAGCAGTTTGTAATGCATGCTCAGTCAGCAACCTATACCATAAGAAATAAAAGAAAAAGCAATAGTAACATAACCTTAGTTAAGTACGTGACATTATTGTGTAAACCATCACATCTTGTTTGACATCATAAACTTTGTTTTTTTCTCTGCAGGCTTGAGAATCTGAAAAGAGCACATCAAGTTATCATCCACACTCATCATTGCACCAGCATTGTCAAATTCACCACAGTAGTTTGGAGCTGAAAATATCGTTACAAGTTGTCTGTCAGCGAAGAATTCATACCCATCCTCTACAACCTACATAAAATTAATAATGTCAATTTCCAGAGCATCATAAGTTTACCCTTATATTAGAGAACTTGAATGAGTATTGTCAAAAAAACATAGTAACCTGATGAGCACGACAAATGAGATCCAAGTCATGCTTTGTCAAGAATTCAGTCACCTTATCAGGACCAAAGGTGTAGGACACTCCTCTGTCATTCATTCCCCAACCCTTCACATCCCTACCAGGATCAGACCATAGCAAATCACAAAGCAAGCCAGTGTCGGGAATTACTGTAGGACGCGGTAGATTCCTGATTTCATCCAAGTTTGTGAGTTCTGGGGAAAGACCACCATGCATGCACAATATTTTATCATCTATAAGGGCAGCAACAGGAAGGCAGTTAAAACAGTCCGTAAAGGCTTTCCAAAGCCTCACATTAAACCTTCTCTTACATTCATCATAAAACCCATAAATCCTATTGATGGAAGCACACTCATGATTCCCCCTCAACAGGAAAAAGTTTTCTGGATATTTGATTTTATATGCAAGCAAAAGACATATGGTTTCTAAGCTCTGCTTCCCACGGTCCACATAGTCCCCCAAAAAGAGATAATTTGCAGTAGGAGGCAAACCCCCATACTCAAATAGCCTCAACAAATCACTGTACTGACCATGAATGTCACCTGAAAATGTGAAGAGTGATCTCAACAATGCCATAAAATAGCACTACAGTGAATGTAAATTGAAAAGCTAATAAATATTTCAACAACAATAACAAAAATCACATCCCGCTGAGTGAACATGGATCCTTCAACCCCATTTTGTATGGTTAAAGACCAATTTATTCATGTTTTCATAAAGAGGATGTCTGTTAATTAGGTCCTCAGCAGGCAATGTAAAACTTGTTAATATATCAAAAGCTAACGGACAATTCAACAAACAAACAACAACAACAACAAAGTCTTCACTGTCACGTTGACTAATGTATGAGTAAAACATAATATATATAATGGAGTGCAACACTCCCCATGAATGAGTTAGACTTAAACCTAAACTCAAAGCCGGTTATAAAGTCTATTCTCTAGTCAATTCGGGACTTGAATTTTTTCAATACTATCCCACTAAGTGAGTTTGTCCATCACTTTGTTATGTGTTATGATGTTTGTTTAAAGACCAAATTCCGTTATGGTTTCATACAGTCTCAAACCTGGCTAAAGGAAGAGGATTATGTTAAACCCTAGGCAGCCACATAATATATCAAGCACAAATGTCTCACCGCAGAAAAGCTAAAAAACAAATTCACATGCCCTAAAAACCAAAAGCATAACCCACATTTCCTTTGAATCAACCCATGATACCCAAAAAACCAAAAGGTTCGAACTTGCAACAAACGGAGACAACCCGAAGCATCTCTAAACCCTAAACAGAAAAGGGGAGAAAATTGGGGAGAGAGAAAGGAAGAGAAAGGAAAAGGGTACCGCAAATCTTGATGGGGGCTTCGAGTTCAAGCAAATTGGGCTGGGTAATGAAGATGTCTCGAGAAGCGACGCAGAGTTGCTTGATCTCTGACTCGGAGAGCTGAACCTGCTTGCCGGGTCGGGCTAATCGGACCTCCGTTAAGCGCCGGATTATGTCGTCCAGAACCGCCTCATCAATACCTTGCCCTTGTGAGCTCATCGCATCCGATCAAAATTTCCTTCTTTTTCTTCTACGCAACTTTTCAGCAACAACAATAACAAACAAGCGCCAGGGGTGAACCAACCAAGAGCTTTTCTTGGTTTGGTTCTCTCTTTCTCTGTTACTCTTTGTCTGTCAGTGTTTGTTTGCCTCCATAGTTCCTTTTCTTTCACCATCTAATATTAAATAAAAGGTATGAAACTTTCTTTAATTACATTTTTTTTTACTCTTGTTTATTTATTTATGAGAAAACAAATTGACTAAAATTAAATTTTAACCATCATTTTAATCTTCTTTTTTAGATTTAGTTAACGTATATCATTACATATGTTTGGATTGAAAATAGAAAACGAAATGAAGTAGATGAAATGAGGTGAAATAAATTAAAATTAAATTATTTATATTTACAATATTATTTTTATTATTCATACGTTTTATTAAATAGATATTTCATTCTATTATTTAGAAAAATAAAATAAAATGAAATAAGTTATATTTTTGTATAATTCTTATAGACACACTCTCTCACCTTCTTACACACTCTTTTATTGTGTCATGTCATTCACTTGTTAAACCTGTAGACAAACAAATATCTAAATAAAACACTCTGCATATTATTACTTGATATATTTGCAACGAGTGATGCATGGTCAATTTATAGGCCCTTTGGATATGGCTTCTCAACTACATGCATTTAATACAACTACTACCTTTCAACTACATACATTCAATACAACAACTACATCTCAACTACTACCTTTATAACCACTACCTCTCAACTACATGCATTTAATGTTTACCTAACAAAATCCCCCCACAAACTTAAATGTTTTTCTTGTCCTTCATTCCAAATATCTTCTTGTTGTTCTCAAACAGAATGGTTGACAGTGGCTTCGTGAACATATCTGCAGCTTGTGTTCGGGTTCCGACGTGCTCTAACTCCACATTTCCTTCTTTCACTTGTTCTCGGATGAAGTGAAACCGAACATCAATATGTTTGTTTTTCTCATGATTGACCGGATTCTTTGCCAATTCAATGACCGACTTGTTATCAACTCGAATCACAGTCCCTCTTTCTTGCTTCAACTCCAGCTTGCTTAGAAGGTTTCTAAGCCAAACTGCATGACAAATACTCCAGGATGCTGCAACGTACTCGGCTTCACAAGTTGACAACGTTACAATGGGCTGCTTTTTTGAAAGTCGGGTAAATGCTTGTGTTTCCCATGAAGAATCCATATCCAGACGTGCTTTTCGGTCATCAACATCTCCACACCGATCCATTATCCAGAGTAACTTACTAGTTGATAATCATCCAGTCCTAGTATACATTAGGCCAAGTGACACTTGTTCCTCTCACATACCTTAGAATTCTCTTTAGTGCCTTCCAATGAGTATACCTTGACTCCTCCATATATCGACTTGTTATTCCAACACTTAGCATTAAATCTGGTCTGGTATTTGTAAGATACCTAAGACTTCCAATCAGACTTCGGTATTTGCTCGCATCAACTCGGTCTCCATCTGCATACTTAGAAAGTTTTGTACCAGGTTCCATAGGGGTGGAAACCGAGTTGCAACTTGTTATCTTAAACTTCTTCAAGATCTCCTCAGCATACCTTTCCTACGACACAAAGATGTCATCCTTTCCCTGAACAACTTCTAAGCCAAGAAAATACTTCATAAGACCCAAGTCAATCATCTCAAACTCCTTCTTCATCACTTCTTTAAACTCTTCAATTAGCTCGGCATTATTTCCCATGAAGATAAGATCATCAATATATAGGGCAACAAACATCACATCTTCTCCTTTCTTCTTTATGTATAGAGCATGTTCATAAGGACACTGCTCATATCCATTCCTTTTGAAGTAAGTGTCAATTCTTTCATTCCATGCTCGTGGAGCTTGTTTCAAGCCATAAAGTGACTTCTTCAATCTCAGCACTTGCTTCTCTTCTCCTCTTCGCATGTATCCGAGTGGTTGTTCAACATATACTTCCTCCTCCAAGATTCCATTCAGAAATGCCGACTTCACGTCCATCTATAAGATTGTCCATCTGTGTTGGGCTGCTAAGGAAATCAGCAACCTAATTGTTTCCATTCTCGTCACACTGGGGCGAATACTTCGTCATAGTCTATTCCTTCTTTACGCTTGTACCCCTTCACTACGAGTCGAGCTTTATATCGCTCAACTTCTCCTTCGACATTTGTCTTCTTCTTGTACACCCACTTTACGCCGATAGGTCGTGCTCCTTTGGGCAAATCGGTTAGCTCCCATGTGTTGTTGCGTTCTATTGCTCCGATCTCCTCGTCCATTGCCTTTCTCCACCTTTTCTCCTGCACGGCCTCTTCAAAACTTAAGTCTTCGAATGCGCCAAGAGACATACAACATGCACTTTGTCGGTGGAGTTGAATATATCTTGTAAACTTCGCGCTACGGGTCGTAGAGGTTCATCTTCTTCATCGAAGTCTCATGATCTCTCACGGTATGTGGTGTATCAACTTCAGAGCTTCTACTTCCTATGGACTCCTTCTCCGGGTTGTTCCAACTCCACTCGCTTTCTTCATCAATTTGAACATCTCGGCTCATGATGACCTTCTTAGTTATTGGGTTAAACAACCCGTACGCCTTGGTTTTTTCATCATACCCAATAAACACGTACTTTTACTTCTATCTTCGAGCTTGGTCCTCTGTTGAGCTGGAACATGACCATAAGCTATGCTACCGAACACTTTAAGGTGAGACACACTCGGTTTTCTTCCACTCCAAACTTCTTGCGGTGTCTTCTCATTCAGGTTAGCATGTGGACATCTATTTTGCACATAGATGGTACATTGCACTGCTTCTGCCCAGAACTCCTTTGGCACGTTTTTGCTTCTCAACATTGTTCGAACCATGTCAAGAATGGTTCGATTCTTCCTCTCGACAACTCCGTTTTGTTGGGGTGAGTATGGTCTTGTCGGAAATCTCCTTATCCCTTGCTCCTCGCAATACTTCATGAGTTCGGATGAAATGAACTCGCCTCCTCGATCAGACCTAACAGATTTGATAGGCATGCCAGTCTCTTTCTCAACCATTGCTTTAAATCTCTTGAACACCTCAAACACCTCAGATTTCTCCTTCAAAAAATATACCCAAGTTTTTCTTGAAAAATCATTTATAAAAGAAATGAAATACCTTTTCCCATTGAAGGACTCAGGGGTAATCGGTCCACAAATATCTGTGTGAATCAATCCGAGTTGTTCATTTGCACGGTACTCGGCCGTCCTCGGAAATGAAGTTCTCGGATGCTTCCCGAGCACACACTCTTCACAAAATTTCTTTTCAAATTCCATAGATGGGAGTCCTCGCACCATCTCTTTCTTTACCAACTTGGTCAGCCCGCCAAAATGCAAGTGGCCAAACCGAAAGTGCCACATCATTGCTTCATCCTTCACGTCAAGTTTCAAGCACCTCTCTTGGACTATCTTCAAGTCCAACTTGTACATTTTGTTCTTCTTCATTTTTACTCGGGCAATCAAACGATCCGACTTGTCCTTCAGGTATAGTACTCGGTCTTTCATCAGAACCAGAGTAGCCTTTCTCCATCAGCTGACCCATACTCAATATGTTGCTTTTGAGATCGGGTACATAGTACACGTCTCTGATTTCTCCAACTCGGCTATTCTTCTGCAGGTACCAGATTGTACCTTTGCCTTTTACTGCCACCTTTGATGCATCTCCAAATGACATGTGTCCGACCTCAACTTTAGTGAGCTCCTTAAAAAGGTTTTCGTCCCCGCACATGTGATTACTTGCTCCTGTATCAAGATACCAAACCGAGTTGTCAGAACAGCTCGGACTTAGCTCGACATCCGAACTTCTTGACATCATCAATACTCCTTCTTCCTCAGTGTCCTCAGAGAGGAGGTTTGTCTCCTTCTTCCTCTCAGTTCGGCAGTCCTTTGCGAAATGTCCAACCTTCCCACAATTATAACATTTGATACCGAATAACGAGTCCTTAGCAAAATGACCAGTACTTCCCACATTTGAAGCACTCAACTTCGGAATTGCTTGGTCGACCACCTCGGCCTCTACCGTCACGACCTCTACCTTGTCTTCGGCCACGCCGGTTTTGTTGGTCGGCGGCTCCTTGCCTCTTTCATATTCTCCTCTGCCTCTACCACCTCGGCCTTGAGTGTTCTGAGCATAAGGAACCTTCTTCTCCTTTAAGGTTGCCTTTGCTTGGAGTGTTTGATCAAGTGACTCCTCTTTCTTCTTCCTTCTCCGCTGCTTATGCGCTTCAAGCGACCCGGCAAACTCTTCCACCGAGAGCACCGACAAGTCCTTGGACTCTTCTATTGCACAAACGATATTCTCAAAATCGTCAGTTAACGACCTTAAGATTTTCTCCACCACTCGGCAAGTGGGCAGCGTCTCTCCATTTCTTCCGAGTTGATTCACCACGGTCTCAACACGGGAGATGTACTCGGCAACCCCTTCGACCTCTTTCATCCTCATGCTTTCAAGCTCGCCTCTAAGAGTTTGAAGCCTGACTTGCTTCACGTGATTATCCCCTTTATATGCCTTCTCCAGAATATCCCACGCTTCTTTTGAAGATTTAGCATTTGCTATCTTCTCAAAGCTGGACTCATCAACAGCTCGGTACAGTACATACAAAGCCGTTTTGTCCTTTACTCGTGTTGCTCTCAATGCAGCAAGCTGAGCAATCGTCTGCTCTTCAATATTCTCTGGTTCTTGGTGCCCATTTTCGACCACATCTCATACTTCTTGGGAACCAAGGAGAGCCTTCATTTGCAGGCTCCAGTTATCATAGCTTACGCCTTTTGATAACTTTGGTAGGGGCATGCTGTTAGCTAAGTTGGTCATCTCAAACAAACTCTCTAACTCTCAAACACTCTCTCTAACACACTCAGGCTCTCAAGCTCTGATATCAATTTGTAGACAAACAAGTATCTAAATAAAACACTCTGTATATTATCACTTGATATATTTGCAATGA